ACACATATGCCTCAGAGACACAACTATGCACACATACACACACCTATATATGCCTCAGAGACACAACTATGCACACATACACACACACACACCTATATATGCCTCAGAGACACAACTATGCACACATACACACACACAAAGGACTACATATGCCTCAGAGACACAATTATACACACACACACGGTGGAACAATTGGCACTGATATTGCATTCTTACCTACAATCCAAGGGAAGCCTGTAACAGAACACATGAAAGGACTGGGGCGTGGCTCAGCAGCAGAGTGCTTACCTGGCATGCGCAAGGCCTTTGAGTCAATTGCCAATACCAGTGAACAAACAAACAATCAATATTGGAAGAAACAAAGACTAAGTATGGAGAAAAATAAGCAAGTCACAAATTCTTAGATTGCCAAGAGAAGATACTCACCCAAAGAAACAGGAACATTCTCTCTCTCTCTCTCTCTCTCTCTCTCTCTCTCTCTCTCTCTCTCTCTCTCTCTCTCTCTCATACACACACACACAGAATAATATACCCTTGGGATAAAAAAAAGCTGAGGAAATACAGCAACAGAGGGAAATGTTTCCAGCGGGAAGCAGAAGAGAAATGATAAGAAAAGTTGGAGACCAGACTCCAAGAAGTATAAAACACAAACAAGCAAACGAACCCACTGCAGTCCAAATAGAAAAGGGAATAGAGGAGAAAAGCTGTCCATTGTCTCTCCAACCCCAGACCGACCGACATGTGTGTATTTATATATACATATAATTGTTCTAAAATATATGTCATGTGAAGAGCAGAAGGAAGGAGGGAAGGAAGGGAGGAAGGAAAGAAGGAAGGGAGGAAGGAAAAAATTGGAAGAGAAAGGCATATAAAATCCTGTGTATGTGTGTGTGCATGTATGTGCATAGGTGTGTCTCTGAGGTGTTTGTAGTCCTGTGTATTTGAGTGTGTGTACCTTAGTGATGTACGTGTGCATAGTTGTGTCTCTCAGGTGTATGTAGTCCAGTGTGTGTGTGCATAATTGTGTCTCTGAGGTGTATGTAGTCCTGTGTGTTGGTATCAGGCTGGAACCCAGTGACATCACATTTAAGCGATCCCCACATCATTGCCAAGGCAATCGCCATACATTCCCAGAATCCACCTGGCTACCTCACCTTTACCTGGGAGAGGCTACATCACTGCCCATTATAAAACAGAACCCCTTGACCTCTCTCTTCTTCCTCTCTCTTCTTCCTTCTCCTCTTCCATCTTCTTCCTCTACTTCTCTCTTTCCCCATCTTTGCCCTATCTCCTGAATAAACCCCACTTGGAACCGTTTGGTCTGGTGTGGTCTGTTCTAAGCCGTGCGCCGATGCCTAACACTGTGTGTGTGTGTGTGTGTGTGTGTGTGTGTGTGTGTGTATGTACCTTAGTGACATGCTTTCCCCGACCAGGGGCCTTGCTTAGGTCTACCAATGCAGATAACATCGGCCACGCCAAAACACATCACTGGTGATTAGAGCACAAAGACCAAGAAAATCCATTCACTTTCCAGAGAAAGGCTAAGGGAGGACATACATTCAAAAGGACTTGGGCTCTGGAGCCTTAGAAAGACAGACCATTAAAATTCTGAAAGAAAATTTTTTTCCATCTGAAATTTTATATTTAGCTAAACTGTGTACTTATTTGACATTAATATAAAGATATTTAGATGCATGAGTTCTGGCAAACTTTACCTCTTATATACCTTTCAGTAGAAAGCTGCAGAGAGAGAAACTACTCGGCCACTTATATCTGGAATCCCAGCACTCAGGACATAGACAGAGGAATGGTACTGAGTCTGAGGTCAGCCTGGTCTACACAGGGAGACTCCAAAACTACACACTAACAACAACAATAAGAAACCTTGTAGGACCTGAGATTTGTATCCTACTTAGCTCACTGCCATAGACTAACAGATGCCAGCAGAAGAGCGTTCCTGGCTCAGAGACAGGTATTTGCCACAGCCAGGGTGGTAGAATACCAGCCCTGTCTTTATATCCTGGATCCCAGTTCTAGCACGGTGCAGAGAGCCAGAACATTCGGGTCACATGGTGGGCTGGAGTAGGAGAGTGAAAGTCCCAGGTTAGGGACCTGACCTTTTCTATTGATCAGTAAGCTGCCTGCCTTTTTGCTCAGAGGAAGATGGCATCTCTTCCTGGATCATGTTTTGCAGACACCCTTAAAAGCTGAGCACAACGGCAGGCTCATTCAGGAGTTTAGGGTGGGAGACTCTGTTGAGAACCGAGAGCTACACTGCTGGGTTTCTCTTTTGAAATTCCTGGCAAATAAAACTTCCTTGAAAATTGAATAAACAGTTGTACTTAATGAAACAACTCACACAGTCTGAATTCTTACCAATTTGTCACCTTTTCTTTGCAAAAGTGACCCAGTGCCTGCAGCAATCCAGAAACACAGCAGGAACTCTCCTGAAATTCCAGTTGGCTCCGAGGCTAGCAGAAGGGCAGACAGGATCATTACCACCTCTCCTCATCGCACCCCTCACCCCCCCCACCGCACCCCTCACCCCCCACTATACCCCCTCACCCCCCACT